TGCCATCGCTCTAACTCTGGACTTTGAAGACCGGTTGTTTGATGGTTGTTGATCTCCTACGTGGTCCCTCGGATGCAGCACAGCAAGTCAGTTGCCGACCCATTTGTGTTACAGGACTTGTTTGAGTGCTCTCTTGTGTGGGTCTGCTTTCTCTGGATGGATGTTCCAGTTTACTCCTGCGTGGGAGCACTTCGGCGGAGTTGCCAAACTCGCCAGCCTTCAAACTCGAGCAGCGCTCTCATGAACGATACGCGATGTGATGACTGTGAAAGAAAATCAAGTGGGCCGGGACAGGACCTGTCACGAGAAGGGATTACGACCGCTAGTCGTCAAACTAACCCGGGAGTGGCAGATAAAGGAGGGAATTCGCCCAATGGGGAACGTCTACCGAGGAGATAGAACAATTGAAATTTGCTCGCGTACAGGTGCCAAGGTGGATTATGAAACCCACAGGATCGTGTGAGGTGTTGACATCTGCGAGAGGCCTTCATCCATAGCTGGTGATAATGATGATGAACGGCACTGGAGAAATACGCCAATAGGGTGCCGTAAGCTTGTTGTGACTTGTAGCCGAGTAACGACTGAAAGCGGCGAGTCCGTCAGTGACGTATAATTGCTCGACCGCTTTAATGGCCGAGCCCACCTGAGTCATAATGCTAAGCGATTGGTGGCATGGATTTACTTCACCGACCGCTCGTAGTCTCTCTATAGTGAAAGTATGGGGCCTCTGTGTGCCTAGTTTGTGCAAATAATACTCAAACATCATGGGTGGTAGCATCAATCAGGTCCAAAGCCATCGCTTGGAATGCATTGGTCAAATATCCGACGCTCGCAAAAAGGCATTTGGCCAGTGGATTGTGCAAACATTTGTCGGTGGGTCCCACCATGAGATGGATGTTGCAATTCCTCAATACCCGTTGAACTTTTGTTTAGATTCTGACCATTTTTAAACATGCCATCACAATTAGATTATACTCTTTTCGAAAAACAAATTGCTTTAAGAATCGATTTTTTTGCCCATCTCTTTTTCATTGTTCATATTGTTTGTTTTATCTTATACCTTCTTGTTCAACTTTAAAAGCATCTTCCGCAAGAATAATGTGCATAAATAATGCAATATGTTGTCATACAAATTACAGTGCAGTTTACGTTTTACGTAACATCTAAATACAACCACATTTCACGATGGGGCTGGATAGTTATTGGATGGGCATCCACCCTGTATAAAACAGGTGTTGTGGCCTGTTTCTGGGCTGATTTATCAGTGCAGAAATATCCATTGTGGTATTGTCTCTGCTCCCCACCATCACCAACCCACACTGACCGCCATGGTGAAGTGAGGATTGTGATGAAAATAACCCAACAGGCATTGGGGGTGTCCTCTCATCCAGCAGCGGACAGTCGAAAGGGCTGTGCATGTACACTATATTTGTATGTTGAACTTCTTTCGCACCGTACGTACCCAACCACGCTAATCGGAGGTACGGGGGAAGGACAGCAAACTAAACACACAAAAGTTATGTTGTGACCTGCCCCATGCATTGACATTGTCAACGTTATCATTTAGCATTGTTTTGACTCAAACGCGGCAAAATTCCGCGCACATTTAAGAGCTGCCAGTAATTATTCTGGCAGCGTTTTTTTTGGAATGCAAGGGCTTGTGTGGCTTAATGGAATTTGCGGTGTCTCGAGTTGTCTCGTTAGGGCCCGCGTTAGATCTTGTGTGTGTGTGCGTGTTTGCACCTTTACCGTATGTGAAGTCTCGATAATTAATTAGTTTTAACGGTTTTCATTTTCCCCAACCGCTGGTGTGCGTTTTGACGAGCTAAATTTAAAACTAATTAATTAAGGATTCTTGTGGCGAGTGAGCGGTTGTATATTTTGCAGTGCGCGCCAAACTGTTTGGAGATGTGGCGTTCAGAAAATGATTTATTAATAGAAAATTCTACTCCGGAACAAACCCACCCGCTGGCAAGGCCTATAAATGTTTTGGTAGCAAAAGCTCAAAACATACATTTATTTGAGTTTATTTTTAAGAGCCAATAAATAGGATAAAATGAATCAATAAATATTGATTCTTACGCTCGTGATACATGCATGGACGCTGTACCGGTTTCGGGGGATTTTTTTTTTGCATTCTTAGAGGATCGCAGGAGGTAGGCAGAAAAGCACAGAGAGTCGTTTGCCATGAAGATTTGGTCATAGCAGTTGGGAAAGAGGAGGAGGGAGAGAAAAGAGCCTCAGGAGAAAACAAATCTCCAGCGTAATTTATTAATCACTGGTGTTCCAACCAAAGAGACCCACAGCGCCAAACCTCCCCTCTCGTTAAAAAAGACGAATCTCCAGTTTCACCACTGTCCTCTCAGACGCTCACGATCAGCCCCCCCCCCAACTACCTGCCCACCCGCCCGCCCGCCCACCCGTCCATTCATCCCACCTGCCCGCCAACCTATCCTTCTGTCCCATCTTCCCGGGCGCAAGTAGCGCAAACAAAACCGCGAACGCCTGGTGACGTCGCACGCGGTTCCGAGCGGATAGCGCAGGCCGATCGCTCGTCGGCAGTCGGCCGTACCTGTGGGACCTTGTGGACACCGCCCCCCCCCCACACACAACCCTCCGCCCCACCTCAACCACGCTAGCACCCCCCCCCCCCACTCGGTGGTGGCGAGCTGGCAAACGCAGCCTCCGGACGGAATGGAACAGTCTGGGAAGCGTGCGTGCGGGCGTCTGGGAGTGCAGCTGTAGGGACGGCGGCGGCGGCGGTGTGACACAGGTGAAACGGTGACGTGCGTTGGCCGCCCGGCTGTGTGGAGCGAGTCATCGTGTTTGTTCGCTCGTTGGTACGAGCGACAGGCTTCCGTTGGTATTCCACAAGCGCGCAAATGCAGGCGGATCGGCTGTGCGTCACTTGCAAAGGGTTTGTCGAATTAAGCGTTCTGTGTTTGGGGTGGTAATGCTTGAGTTTTGTCATAAAATTTCGGAACAAAATACAGTAGCTTGTAACTCATAAAAAAACTCACAAGACAAACTTTTGCCTGATGTCCGACTGCATAGCTGCCTATGAGTGTGTTGAAACCACATTTCGTGAATTTTGGATAGAAATAGGTGAGCCGCATATATATCCAGTGGCTGAGTAAGCTGATTCTGCATAAAGTGAGGGGCAACCTGTATCTGACTTATTTGGCGAGTTTGCCAGGCCATGCGAGTACGTACATTAAATAGATTCGATTGTTGCATAAATAGAATCGTCTGTTTTCACCAATGACATGTGGGTTGTGCCATTGGCGTCATGCCGTTGGGATTCATTGTGTTTCCGTTCGTGAGTACTGAACATCTCCGTGCAAACTTTGAGACTCGAATATCTTCCTTGCCTAACAGTCGTGTTGTTTATGGTTTTTGTTTTCTGCTCTCACCCATCAGCTATCGCAGCAAGCACTCGCACGTACGCGCACAAGCACTCACATGCTGCACGCTTGCATGTACGCACACGCATGTACGCATTTATGCACCGTTTACGTGTACGCATACGCATGCGTGCACATACGCGCACGCTCACGTCTGCACACACACACACACTTGTACACACGCAGGGGCACGCTCGCACGTACGCACATGTGGAGGCAAGCTCACATGTACACACACACACGTGGGCATGCTTGCGCGCACACACGCGCGCACACACGTGGGCATGCTCGCACACACACCAGCAACTACACGCGGGCACGCTCGTGCGCACGCACGCTCCCCTCTTCCCCGCGTGCGTCCTGTGCAATCACCGACTCGCTCGCCGCTGGCCCAGGGTGTCGGGGCGGCGGTGCTCAATTAAAATGCCAGCACACTGGCAGCGGCGACTCGTAATCGCGTGACTCCCCGTAGCCACGTCTGTTGAATAACCGCCAACGCGGCGTTGTGACAATCACCCGAATCACTTACCTGTAAGCAAAAACAACATAATGTGGCAGGCCGTCTCTGCCGTGACCATTCATTCGACCAAGCAGAAATCTCTCCTCGCCTGCGAGTGGCCGAGGCTTGGGCGGTTTTTGTTGTCTTTTTTTGTACGAAGGGCGCGAGTGGCCCATCCAACTGTCGGCCGTTGTAGCCAAGAGACGAAACCGCGCGTGGTAGTCGCGGCGCAGAGCCCCTGCGCCGCTTCGGTGGGACAAGCATCGTGGGCGAAAAATTATTAATTAAATTTGGCAGCGGTGCAAAAAATTCCACCTGATGAGGCACTTCGTCGAGCTATCCATTCGTGGTCAGGTCGCTTCTGAAAAAGAGCTATATAGCTCGGTGGGCCATACCTGGTAAAATAAAAAAAAATAGTTTAGTGTAGTTTTAGATTTTATTTGAACGGTATGATAACTGATGTAGAAATCCACCTGTTGCCTGCGGAGCACAAATCACGATTAACTTGGTGGGAGTCCACTTTAATGAGTGGTGCATGTGACAAGCGTACATCTCGTATTCATATGGCAGCCTTGTAAAACGTACAGGGGAAGAGCTAGTCGCTGTATATAGATGTGTAGGTTGTTTTCAAATTGCCACGGGCATCATGTAAAAGAGTGCAATTCCTCTGCTGTAACTCCAGCGTTGTCTTTGCAATGTCATTTGCCTATAAGTATATGGCATGGGTTTATACGGACCACTGCATCACACTATACATTTCTTTGTAAAGTTTATAAATCAGCTGTGGGGAGAGCCAGCAGGAGGCTGCCCATTAACTTATTGTCAACTCCTGCTGCTCAGCTGGCCATTACAGCTTCCTTTTGCTCTTTCAAACACTTGTTTTATTTCCCCACCCCACTCTCCCACCCCCCCCCCCAAAGCAAATTTTACCAAGAGGTACTGTCGGTAGCACTTGGCGCCCGGCTCGTCACTTCCTTTCCGAGACGTGAATCGCCCCCCAGGTCTGCGGCCGGCGTACGCCGCGGGAGATCTGACCATCGAGAAACGGAAGTAACCGCCGTGTTTTTTTGTTGTTGTTTTGTTTTCTTCCATCCCAGAGCGACGTGTCGGAGTCCCCGGCAGAAGGGACGGCCGATGTGCTCGACGATCTGCAGACGCTCGAAGTGCGGGACAACTCCAGCAGCGACGAGGATGAGTTCTACGACGCCGACTCGTGTAAATTCTTGCGACTTAAAAAAACTATTTGGGGCCGTTCGCGTGAGCGCCATTTGGTACAGAGGTGGGGGGGGGGGGGAAATGCACGTTGTAAAATTCTGCAGAATCCATGTGTATGCGTGATTTTTCTTCCTTGTAACTAACGCGGGTTTTGTGTCCGCATTTACTTACATAATTTGTAATGTTGTTGTGTTTAAAGTAGATTATGAGAACAAGGTGCATTGGTGGTGAGACGTTCACTACCTCGCCTGGTATGCAGGAGGTCGTGGGTTCGATCCCGACGCCTGTATATTTGGAGTTTGCATATTCTGCCCATGGTCGTGTGGATTTTTCTCCGAGCCCTCTGGTTTTTTTCCTCCACAATTAGAAACGTGCGTTTCGGGTATTTGGCTGCTCTAAATTTCCACCTGATAAGCCCCTTCGTTTGGCTATTATTTGTGGCCAGGTCGCTTCTGAAATAAAAGCTCTATAGCTCAGTGGGTCTTACCTGGTCAAATTAAAATCGTTGAGTCTTAGATGTAGTTAAACATTTTTTTAATGAAGGTGAACGTTTTTCTATTTTCGTAGAGAGAAAAAATCTATAAATATAATATTACAAAGCACATAATTGATCATCAATTTTAATTATATCTAGCTGAAACTGCATTGCTGCGCACTGAGTGATGGCGGGAGTTTTAATTTCCGCGTCTGTCCATCGCGTTTATGCCCCATCGGCAGAGTGCTGCTGTTGTAATGGGTTTTCTCGTCTTTTACAGAAATTGTTGGCAAAGGGCTGTAATTTTATTTTTTTTAAACCGCAAAACAACAGCAAGTGTGGATAGCCCTTGAGTCAGGGTTGAATGATTCTATTTTATTCCCTGCCATTTAAATGCTGTGCCATTGTCCAAGGCTTGTTTGCTATTCTGTGCTATCCAGTGGCTGAGTAAGCTGATCTTTTTTCCAAATAATGAATGGGTTGGATTGCTTTTAGGGCAGAATGTGCAATTAAAGATGGCCCGGGACACCTTGTCCGTGTCTTTCGGTCAAGTTTGTGAGTTTCTTTGTCAATATCGGCATCCACTTGCCTCACTTCGTATGTCTGCGCATTGTGTTTTTTGTGAAATTACATCTGTCTGTGGGCATATGTTTATATATGTGTATATACATGGCACAGTAGCCGGGCACAGGTGGTACATCTGCCAGTCATCTCAATCGGTCAACTTATTGCATCTGGGTCTGTCCCCGTGACCTGCTGCCAGCGAGCCATCGACACTTCACGTGGCCTCAGTGCACCTAGCCTGGCACAAGCGCCGTGGTGACATCACCGCCACTTATTAGCGAATGGTGGCTGTTGTTTTTGATAGTGACAAAGACATTGTGGCGAGTGGTGGCATGGTGGTAGTTTACACACTGTTCTAACCCTTTTCAAATTTGAAACATTAATTAAACTGACTAAACATTATTTTTCAGGGTTTTCCTGAAACAGTTATGATGGAGCAAAGGTTAGCTGGATAACTGAAAGGCATTATATTATGCTTGTATAGTATATCTAGGCCTTGTATTTTGTTTAATATCCTGGCACTTTTATGATGTTGTTTTATTGTTTACATATGTGTTGTATTTGCTTTGTTACTTTGGATGTAACTCTGCATTCATTCATCAATTAAAATCAGTTCTTATCATGCTTATGATAACACGCATCGTGAATGTGAGAAGGGATTATTATAGGTTCGTATTTAATCAGATGTCCACGGGTTCACATGGCTTCTGCAGTAACTAGGGGTGATGCAGTGTCCGACAACATTAACAAAGAAATCGAGTCTTTAAATCACGACCCACAATCAAAATAATTAATCACTGAAATTCCTTTTGTTCCCCAGGTTTTCATTTCAAAAGTCTTAGTTCCATCTGGCCATTAATCAGCATCATCGTCATCAGTCATGACCTAGCTACTGTTGTGTGAAGGTATCCCAAAGCGTTTGCCATCTCTCAGTCACACGATGCGATGCTCATTTTTTCATCATTCCATCTCCAGAGTCCATACCCTTCTTTGACTCATTCATTGTTGAATCAATTAATGCTGCACGTGCCGCGTTGGCCTTCATAGTTACTTGCTAACAGCACTCGCCCCCAACAGTCTGTTAAGGCTTTGTCTCTTTCCGCTCGCACAGACGCAGAATCCGTTTCCGTGAAAGCGCTGCAGAGGTTTAGCAACTGTTCGGCGGAGTCGAGCGACTCGGCGAGGATGTCCGACCCCGGCGCTCAGGACAATGGCGAGGAGAGCCACGCCAATGGCATCAAGAAGCGCAGGTATGCGTGTGTGACGGGATGTTGAGCGAGCACCGCTGAGATACCACGGGCCGACACCTGCGGTGTTTACGTGTGGTGTCACGTCTCTCTGCCTTCATTCGACAGCGGCAGCGTGGGGCCTACTTGATGAGAATGTGTCTGCTTTGGCACATGCAGCTTTAGGAGGTGGCCAGATGGCTCAGAGGTTAGAAACATTCATGTAGAGTATTTGGCTGCTATAAATTTCCACATAAGCTACTTGAGCTACCAATTGTGGCCTAGGTCGCTTCTGAAATAGAAGCTAATAACTCAGTGGGCTTTACTTGATGAAAATTTTTTTTTAGTTTTATATGTAGTTATTTTGAAGTGGTGTTTAACTTTCTTATACTTTGCACTCCTATCGTGTTTTTGTATTGTTGGTTTTTGTAACATTGTAACCCTGTGCCCCTACTAGATAACATCTGTAAAATAGAGCTGTATACCTCATCGGATTCCTCCTATATAAATACATACAGTAAAACCTTGGATTGCGAGTAACTTGGTCTGCGAGTGTTTTGCAAGACGAGCAAAATTTTAAAATAAATATTAATTTGATAAACGAGCGAGGGTCTGCCGAGCGTCACTTGATCACAACTGATGTACGAGTGCTTTGATATACGAGTGCTTTGGATTACAAACACGTTTCCGAAACGAATTATGCTCGCAATCCAAGGTTTTACTGTATTCTGATTCTTGATACTTGAGCCAACGTCCCGCCAAGATCCTGGGTTTAAAACCGGGTTTTGGCCACCCACCATGATTCAACTGGGTGCTCGGGCTTATTGCGTTGATAGTCTCAGCCTGATCGTGAATGATTATAATACGCGGAAACATCGTGATAAGTTTGGAATTTATTTTCCCGCTTCCAGCATTTGACATTCGAGGGGAAAAATTTATTTTATTGTTGTGTTAGGAACAATATTTGCAGAGCATTAAAACGTGTGCCTCCCTGGTTGTGGATCAAGATGCCGATGGGAGATTATCTCCAGGAGTAGGTCTCAGAACACATCCTCTGCGGCCGTTCTCCGACATAGGATCATGCACTCTTTGTATCCTGGCACGACGCTGATAGCAAATGTTAAACATAATTTGGGAGAGGGGGTGGAGGCAGAATATAAAAAATATATATACGTATATAAACCCAGACGGACCAATACACTACCCTCACCCTTCCCTTCTCTTCCCTCTCCACCACCACCATCACCAACGCTGCTAGCGCCCGCTTATCTCTCACAGCCGGCGCTTTAAATATTTTATCTCGCGCCGGCTGCGTGGTCACCATACCCGCCGCGTTGGGTTTCCCGACAGCGGGTGTCACTTTGCGCGCGGCCGAATTTGTTTCAAAAGTCCTGGCAGCAGGCAGCGGTGGGTGGGGAGGGGGATGGAGTTGTGGCAGGGCCGCGTGTGTTCAGGCCGTTCAACGTCCGCATTGGTCAGCGTGTCACGCGTGCGACGACTCGCCCGTCGTGCTCACGGAGCCGTTAGATTTTAATTGTCACAGTTTCACGTTGTGTTGTCGCGGTTCCATTTTGGGAATTGATTCGTTTTTATATCTCGTCGTTTTGCACGGTTTGGTATTCTCATTTGTTCGATCTTGCTTGTATACGTTCGTTTAGCCTGACTTAAACATTAGCTATGTTATTTGCATGATTCGGAAATAACCGCTTCGCGCACGTACAGATACATTGGCACATTGCATTCATTGGTCGCCGTTAATCATGTGACACTTGCCCATTCCGTCGCGTAAATTGTCACAATTCGGGGTCGTGATGGATTCGGAAAATCTTCCTTCTCGTCTCATTTCTTCTGCATCATTTGTATTGTTTCTCATTAGTGTTGTCTTTAACAAGTGTCGTTTGATCCATTATCTTTAGCTTATTGTGTAATCATAATAACAATACATTTAATATATGGTACTTGTTTGGGCTAATTTCTTTGAGCGCTTAAATACCTGAACGTGGATTGTCTCGTTCTGGCAATACCTCACCAACAACCACATCCTAAGGTTTAAAAAAAACACGGAACACCAAAGGGAAGTAAGTGCAGCTCGTGCGTAAACAGATTAGGTAGGTGATCAGCTCCGCCTGGAGTGGGCGCTCGATACGGTGGGGAAGTGGGGAGCTGACTGGACATTTCCACGTGATAAGCCACTTTGTTGAGCTATCATTCCTGGCCAGGTCCCTTCTGAAAAAGAGCTATATAGCTCATTGGGCCTTACCTGGTAAAATAAAAAAAATATAGTTTAGTTTAACACGTAGCCTTTCGCTACCAATATTATCCATAATAGAGGTTTTTTGGATTAGATCGCGTAAATATAAATGTGTCGTTAAACCCGCCACCACCCGACACAGCTAAACAAAAAAATGGTTTAGTTTACAAGGCTACTCCTGGATACATTTGAATACGTATGAAGTCTGCTGGGCATTCACATCCTCTATCGTCTCCACCGTTAAATCAAAGTCACAAGTCTGTGTCTCTGCCGTTCAAGCGATTTCCGTGCGTAGATAATCAACATGAAACACCGTTGAAGAAAGACTCAAAAGCCCACAGCGGGCTATCTCATAGCCACGCAACTGGGGTGTCTGTCATGGGCTGTTTGCCGAGCACAGGAACAAGAGCTTCAAATCAGTGATGAGATAGCAGTCAGGCCGGGAGGCGCTTTAAAATTATAAACAGAGTTGTTACCATGTCAAAAATGTTCCTCTCCGGTATCCGATCAGCGCGGCTAAGATGCTGGCAGGAAAAAATATAAATTTGGTTTGTGGGCTATTGCTAAGTAGTGTAGCCCTCATGCAGCAGTGGGCCATGTTAAACTCTGTCGTGTGTTTATCCATTGGCTGCCCACCCCTGCACTAGTTGGTACTAATGCGCCCACACAGCACATTACATTGATAACACATGCCTTTCTGCTGCTGCATAGTTGAACAACGTTCCACAGTCGCCACAACCTGTGCCAATGCAGTTGGTGCGAAGTACAACAACAACGACAATCGTATTTTTTTCACCACATTCCATCAGACTTGTTTCCCCAATCGCTCTGTTGGGACGCGCGCAGATCGGCCGGCATTCCCCAATGCAGCGCCCAATTTCGCAACAATTTTGAGGCGGGAAATGGCGATGGACCGAGCGAGCGCTGACAAATTCCTCGTGGGTGGCGTCGCGAGGTTAAGCGGTCCAGCGGGGTTAAGTGGTCTAGCGTCGCTTCCGTTCAATTAAATTCAACCAACGTGTTGTGTCTGGAGCCACAGTACGGGTGCTTCCGTCGGCGCGGGCGCTTTTGTCGGCTGATGCTGGGGGATGTTTTAGATGAGGACGCACCCTTAACGAGTTGAGTGCATTGTCCACACCCCCCCCCCACCACCGTGGAGCCTGGACTGGATTCTTCTGCTCTCTGTTACTGGTTTAATTCCAGGCGCGTCTGACCCAGCGTCGCCCAGATTCCGATGAAATGCCCGCAAGTGGTCAAGCTGTTAGTGTTTAGACTGTAAAATGATTTACGTGTGAAGTTTTGTGTAAAGTAAAAAAAAAACGAAATTCACATTTATTTTCTTTTTTACCGACTTGAGTTCATTTTTACCGGTGCTGTTTGCATCGTGCAACGGGGCAAATAAATCTCCATTTGGACCTTGCGAAGTAAGCAGTGCATCACCATGTGCGCATGAATGGCTCTAGCAGATGTCATCCTCCTGGACCTTCCTAAGATTAGCGACGCACAAAACAACTGCCGCTTTTACGGTGCGCCGCGTGAGCTTTTTGCGAAACTTAAAAAAAAATCGGAATTTTGGTGGGGGGTGGAATCCGTTCCGTTGTTAATGAGCGAACGGATCTAGAGGAGCTCCCTGCCTGTGATCCGAGGCAGTAGATGAGAAGCAGAGGAAAGGGAAAGAGAAACAGAAAGGAGACGTAGAGGTCCCATTTGGATTTTAATTGTTACCTGTAGCACAATGCGCTCGTTGCGCTGCAGCCTGATGGTGAACGTTGGTCTGGTCGCGGATCTGGTGTTACATTACTTTTGCGGCACGTGCCAGGTGACGTGCTAAGATCTTAATTCGCCATGCGAGCATTTACTCCGGTCGACAAAGGTTGCCCGGTGATTCTCGTGATGGGGGAGCAGTGGTTCTTTTCGTGCACTGCGCTGTGAAGCCAACAACCCGAGTTCCATTCCCGGTCATGGCTGAACTCGGTGTCGAGTGATAGCTGAACCCGGTCCCGCTGTAGCGCAAGGTCGACTCATCACTGTCTGGGATGAGACACCACGCTGCCAAACTGTGAATTAAAACACGTACAGCGAATGCAAATAAACAAATAATCGGCTCCTGAATCGAATGTGGTGAACTTTGCCGATCCGTCGACGCGCGGAGGGGTTAATCGTTTCAGAGTGGTTCAGTCGGGGGGTGCGTGGAGGTCCCAGGAGCCCTGCTTTTTTCCTAGAGGCGCCTAGCTTAACACATTTTTGGGGAAAGTATTCCTCTCACAAACAGTCAATCTGATATTATATACCTCTCTCTCAGAGCTGGAATTTTAGCTAAATTAAGTTTCGATTTCAAATTTAACATGACGGCAATTTTTTTTGTGTCCTCGTTGGCGACCGGGTCGAGACCGTAGCCGCCTATTCTGTGTCTGGGTGCCGAACACCCATACATGGCATTGCCCGAAAGTCCTAGTACACAGCGCCATCCAGATAAGTCTTAAATATAGTGCATTATTTTTTATTATCCATAATTAAAGGGTTTCTTTTTTGGGTTAGATCACGTAAATATGTCATTAACCCGCCACCACCCGGCACAGCCAATTAGTAAGGTTTGTCACGTAAACAAAAAGTGACAATTAGTTACTACTTCAGGAAAGCCACAACTAACCCATAACATGTATAATTGAACACAACATTTACAGTTGTACAATTGGAAATGTTGTGGGTTTAATCTCCAACACATCGGTTTACTGAAGGAGTAACTAATTTGTACGTTATGTTTACGGGACAAACCTTATTAATTGGCTGTGTTGGGTGGTAGTGGGTTAACGAAACATTTCTATTTACGCGATCTAACTAAATTTTTTTACGGATATTGGTCGTGAAAGCTTGTGTTTATATTGTAATGATGTATTTTTATTCGTTACTAGCTTTACTACCCGGCTTCGCCCGAGACTTGGATTCTTGTCTTGGATGAATACATGGCCTACGCAGAGGGTTGGGGGGGGGGATGCGTGACGTCGGCATGCACACTGCGTGACAGTGCCGCATGCGGGTGACATCACAGATGTGACGTCACCGCTCACTTGCCGTGCAAAATATATCCATTATTGCCCCCCCCCCCCCCCCCAAAATACAAAAGTCAATTTTTTTACTTTTTGCATTGGGTACAGTCTGGAAGCTGCCAAATTTCAAGTGTTTATACATGCTGGGAAGTATGCTAAACATTTCGAACAGACACATATTCACAAATTTCTCTTTTATATAGATTATCCATGGCGTTCTACATTTGGATGGAGATTATAATAGGATAGTCATTGCCATATGAATGTGGAATTTACACTGCTGACCATGCGATAGATATATCTGCTATCAAGCTCTTTCCGCATTTGCATTGTTCACTTCTGAACAAGTGTTAACGTTGACGCGTCCGCGACATGGGAGAGATGTGTGTGGTGGCCACGTGACCACTGAGTAATTGCTGTTTATAACCGACGCATTGATTCCTGCAGTACACTGAGAGGCGCTCAACTATTTTTAGATTTTAATAGAGCACTTGCTTTCACAAGTGTCCAAGTCTCCGCGCTACTCCACAGCCAACGCACACCAATGTCTGTGCAGCCAAGAGTCTTGCACTGTTCTCTCAGTTCATCTGTGCGTACCTTAAACTACAACTTGGGTTTACAAAGTGTCCTAGACCAATGGTTCTCAAAGTGTGGTCCCCGGACCACCAGTGTGGTCAGCGACGGTCCTCTAGGTGGTTCGTGAGGCTGTGATGCAAAATGCAGGTGGATCCAGAAATCATCATGTTTTATATCTTTTGGTTTCAGGCATTAATTAATATTTGTTTTATTTAATAAAAAAATAAAGTGAGGTCAACTTCCCTGATTAAACTACCCGAGATCTAAATGCCCCCCCCCCCCGCCTAAAAAAAAAACATATAGCTGTGTTTTGACAGAAGGTATTGGTTTCTGGAGCAGAGGGCAGTGGAAGGGGACACGGTCGAGAGAGGAGATGGGAGAGATATAGGCGAGGGTGAGTCATTTGAAGATGATACCGCAAATAAATAGTCACGATCGCAGCTGGAAAAAAATCCATTTTATCTTCTAAGGTTGCTTGCTTGCCAACATTGTTTATGCCGAGGGTTAAAATCCCCCAAATCCCTCCTGGACCTTAATGACGTTTGCGTGCAGTGTCAATTTGACAAACTTACACCGCATTACACCACCTGCTGTCAACTCAGTGTCAAGAGGCTTGCGCTGAAATGGAAAAAATTCGAGTGATATTCTGCCTGTTCAAATTTGAAAAGGAGGTTTTATATTTTTTTACGGATGGTGTTTCGCGCACCGACTGCTAAGAAAGGTCAGTGGGCTTGAGCAGGGCATGTCGCTGGAAGGGATGACGACGGCTCATGGTCGAGACTTGTGGTGGAGCGGCAGCCAACGGAGAGAATGCTCCCGAGAGGAAAATCTCTCGGGGACAAAGAGGAATGTAATTTGCTTGTGTGAAGGAGCACAACCAGGACCGTTAGAGATGTTGACAGCCTGCGGGCAGGGATACCTTCCTTCCTTCTGCATTCGATTTCTTGTGGCTGATGGTGATTTATTGTTTGTTTAACCACGTGGGCTTTCACGACCAATATCCACAATAGATTTTTTTGTGTGGTCACCACATCGACGCCTCTATATAAGGAACGAAACAGGTGGACTTCTCCACAAATCTGGCTGTCGCCTGATGAAGCTAGTTGTAATTACTGGCGAAACGTCGTTCTCAGATGGCAAATGTTGTGGCTTGGCTCTCCAACACACCGGTGTGCTGTACTAGTGATGAATTGGCACGTTATGTTTACGTGACAACCCTTACTAGTTGGCTGTGTCGGGTGGTGGCGGGTTTAACAACATATTTATATATTTCCGCGATCTAACCCAAAAGAACCTGGATTTACTGTTTGTTACCTTCGTAATAATTGCATTCAGAAACATCAACGAATGTACTGGGATGTGATTTTGTACGTTCCTACGTATGTTAAAATTATTTTGCACCGTACGTAGCCAACCGTGCTTATCGGAGGTGCGGGTTGAAGGACAACAAACTAAAAACACAAAACACGTTTTTAAAGAAATGAGAATCGAGTTTTCACATCAGTTTGCGTAACACTTGTATTGTATAAGCTGCCAATTCCCCATTTGAGGCACCAATAATAAATAAATAATTTGTTGCTCGGTCAAATGCAATCGGAACGTGCAAACGCCTTCACAGCAGGGGCTTGTGTGCGAATGGAGCACGCGTGTAAACATTTCGCTTTGTCCAGCATCATTATAGAGCTCGGCCGTATTGCGTATTTTAAATGCAGCACATTATCCTTCAATTCACTCTATCGATTTATATGTAGACCATTTTGGATTGACCGACTGACTCGCGTACATTTTAAAGGTGTTCTGGAGAGGAACTGGAAAGCAGGTGCTGTTTGACAATTGTGTTGCGTTTTGTTTTTTCAGAAAGATGACATTTGGTACATGTATGGTCAAATCTATTCTTCTCATTTCTTTCAAATCGTTTTTTGTGTTTGGTTTGTTGTCCTTCACCCGCACCTCCAATAAGCACGGTTGGCTACGTACGGTGCAAAGGAAGTTTAACATACGTACGAACGTACAAAAATCACATCCAAGTACATCTATTCTTGTAATTAGAAACATTTAAAATCTTGTTGGGACTGTGCTGTGTCTTTGTATTGTCTGGGACTTTTTTTTGTTTCGCTCCTTTCTCCAAGCTTGCGTTAAGTGTTGACAAATTGGCAAGCAATTTCCATAGTTACGCAATTTGTACATGTTTATTTATATTTTTATTTATTTCATTTGAGTGACTTGCAGTTACCTTTCCTATACTTTGTTTACTGTTTGTTGTTGGAGCTTTCTGACCCGCCCCTACTGGACATTTTGAAAAAGAGCTTCATAGGTCATCAGATTCCTCCAGGATAAATAAAGATTCTGATTCTGTTGGGAAACATTCTCCTACATGAATTTTTTTTCATTTCCAATCTCGGCCTATGGAGGCTTGTATATATTTTGAAGGGTTCTCAACGTAAATACGAAATTTTAACTCCATGTATTTGGTATATTTCCAAGAGTATGTGACACTAAAGCTGATAGAAAGTTGCCAAAGGTTTGGCTGTTGGTGGTCTCAGTGTTTTATGCACAGTGCCTGGCACCGTGGCTGGCGCGCTGTGCTCTGAACCCAGCGACCTTGGCTCGATTCCCGGCCATGGCTAACGTCCGCCGTGGGTGATATCCGAACCAGTGCTGATGCCGCCACTTCACCGATCTGTGCTGACCAATGTAGTGAAGTATGCTCAAACAAAACCTCCATGATCAGCAGTGGATTACCAGCCTTGAATATATTAATTAATATCTAATTTCCATGGCCCAACTCGAGGTTCAGTACAAACATTGCCCAATTGCAACCTGACAACTGACCTGAGAAGTCAAGTCCCAGGGTTCAGCTGTCCACGGAAAACTTGGGACAAATCTCAAGCGCTTGAGGACGGGCCAGGGAAGGTGTGGCCACTTGCTGCACATGAGGAGTAGCCCAAATTGTGACTGCGGCCACCACCCAAGTCAGATGCTCGCAAATATCCATTCCCTGTGGCATCGCAATCATTCACTCTGCCTCGTGTGAAGTCGTTGAATGGATTGCTAACCTCGACATCAAACTATAACTGCTTCCCCAGCCATACGAAGAAGAATTTCATTTCTAACAAACAGAAAATATTTTGCCTTTTTGGGCGTTCTTCCTTTTACCCAACGAAGGATTTACCTCTTGTTGCACGCGTCTTTGCTGCTCGGGGCGGCTCCGCCTGAAAGCTTGTGCCGGCGTTGTGTGCTTCCAGGACCAGCCTTCCAGCACCCATGTTCTCCAGGAGCAACTTCAGCATCTGGAGCTTCCTGCGGAGGTGCATTGGCATGGTGAGGCCCGACCGCTTCCCCTGCTGGGTTCTCCGCGCGCTGTGGCGTTCCATTTTGTTCGCGGTGGTGGGTCGCCAGCGGCGCTTCCTGCCACCTCATCACCCGCAATGCACCCGACCTCGCTGGATCCCGGAAGCTAAGCGGCGTCGAGGCCGGGTAGTGCCTAGATGGGCGACCACCCGGGGCGGTGCAGGAAACTGTGTACTCTACCTATATGCTCCTACGTCCATGCTCTCCGCCTTCGCCAACCCGCACTGACGAGCGTGGTGCAGTATGGTAAAATAACTGACACGGCCCGCGCCGTGCTGGGAGGCGCTCATCCAGCAGTGGATTGACAAAAGGGATGTGCATCTACTTGCTTTGTATCATAACTTGTAAGTATTGATCACTTGCCAAATTGGCATGCGCTGGGATCGATCAATGGGGCAGTGTTGTTGTTTCTTTCATTTGTTTCTGCTGACATTACTTCCTCCACCTCCTCCCCTCTGCCCTCCTCCCCTCTCCCTCCTCCCCCTCTTCCACACACATTGTTACACTTGTAGGAGCTGTCCAAGATCACCATGCCGGTGATATTCAACGAGCCGCTGAGCTTCCTGCAGCGGCTGTGCGAGTACATGGAGCACACGTACCTCATCCACAAGGCCAACACCTCCAGCAGCTCCATCGAGCGCATGCAGGTGCTGCTGCCCCTCTCCTTAGCTCCACATCTCTCCCCTCAACCTGTCGTCCTGTCCTCCGAAATATCTCGTCTCACCAGACGAGCTGGTACGTTTAGGGGGGGGCATCCAATTTGTTCGGGCAGCATTGTTCAGCTGACGGCATTCGGGGGGGGGGGGGCAGATGTGACCTGCCAAGGCTCCTCCTGCCACAGCCCGTCAAGCTGTGTGGTTCTCAGAGGCACAGAGAGTTACAGGACGCTCGCAAAGCCCAGGGTGTCCGCTGGCCTCCATTGACCCTCAATGATTTAACTGTCATTGAATAAATAAGCACGTGAGGCCAAGTTATGAAACAGAGGTGTGCTGCAGTGGGTAAATATGAAAGAGTCTCTGCTGATGATGAACTTGGTTTTCATACAGTGGTGACGTTTTCATTGTAGGCGTGTGCCTAAAAGTTTGTGTGCATGCTTTAAATGTTGCTGTGTGTGTGTTTACGTCTTTTTCGTGTGCGCGTCTGTGTATTTGTGTGTGTGTGCGCACATGGGTGTGCGTGTGCTTGTGTGTTACCTTTTTCTTTGTGCGCTTGTGTACGGGGTGTGCGCTTCATTTTCTTTGTGTGCCTGCGCGTCCGCGTGCGTGCGTGCACGCTTGCGCGTGCTTGCGCGTACGGAGAGATGGGGTTTTGGCAGCACAATGGTTCGGGCACTCCGCTGAGTAACCTTGCAACCTGAGTTCGATTCCCAGCCAGAGCTTAATGTCAGTGGCTAGCGTTGTCTGGACCGATCCTGAGCACTGCCCTAAATGATGCTCGCTCACCGCGCTTGTTCCAACAGTTAGCGTGGCTGTACATCGGATCATATCCTTTCTTTCTGTGCATGTGTGTGTGCACGTGTGTGTGACGCTGGCGCCATTGGCTTGCAGTGCGTAGCCGCTTTTGCCGTGTCAGCAGTGGCATCGAACTGGGAGCGGACGGGGAAACCCTTCAACCCGCTCCTGGGAGAGACCTACGAAATGGTCCGGTGAGTCCTCCACAGCGCCCCCCCCCCCACACCTCCCACCCCACCCCCCATCCCAATGAACAAGTTAACAACGAGTTAATGTTAACGATATCGGTAATGCCCTCCATTTTGCACAGAAAAGCCTCGCAAGTACTCGGGACAATCTTGTCAGGAGTGTGCTGCTACATTGGGAATTTTTTTTCCATCAATTCCATTGTTAATGAGATTCTGCCTTTCATGTGGGAGGGAACCGGAGAGCCTGGAGAAAGCTCGCCACCACCATGCGTACAAGGTCCAGCATTCTACTGCCGTCTTGTGGCCACCTCGCAGACCAAGCTTACAATGCCCAGTATGCCCTGGCGGTCTGGCATTCAAGTATTAACCGGCTCGGCTTGCGAGGTCTCACAAAATCTGAATAGGTATCGGACGATCTCGTGCGATTCGGCTGTAGGTTAATTGTGATGGGTGATGTCACAAACAGGTGTCGCTGCTGGGTAACAACCCCGCGTCTGGTTGCCATGGGAGAGAGAGGTGGCTCCAACGGCGCCGCGCCGAGCCGTCGGCAACTGCTTGAAACTAACTCCAGATGGGCGCACGAAAAACCCAAGCAACGTTCTTCGTGTTTTCCCGTTGAGCCCGTTGCATTGTTTTCTGCTGGCAAAGCGTCGTGTCTTCTCTTTCCGTCGAGTGTCACCGTCTCGTCCCGTTCACGGGTCATTGGGCTTTCCCGGAGGACGTGTCCTCTGGGAGAAGGTGTCCTGAAAAATCTTTGTTAGGGGAGGAATCCGAATTTTTGGGAGCACATGGCCTAATGCCAACTCGGCCCTCGCTGTCCCCCACTTCAACCGCCCTTCGTCGCCTCACCGCCGTCCCGGTCTCTCCGCCACAATTTCCCACTGGCCATGCAGGGAGGACCTGGGCTTCCGGTTGGTGTCGGAGCAGGTGAGCCACCACCCGCCCATCAGCGCCTTCTTCGCCGAGGGCCTCAACAAGGACTTTGTGTTCCACGGCTCCGTCTACCCTAAGCTCAAGTTCTGGGGCAAGAGCGTGGAGGCCGAGCCGCGTGGAATCATCACGCTGGAGCTGCCCAGGTGCGCAGCGCTATCTTGTAGAAGCCTCCCCTGTTGATCTGCTGCTGGATGAAGGCCTCTCCCCCCCCCCTCCACGCCATTGTGGGTCATCGGTCGTGAGGAGTGGGGGAGGGGGGTGGAGGTTGCTTGGCCAAACTTCACCACGCTGGTCAGTGCGGGGGGTTGATGGAGGGGAGAGCATACGTGTGGTATCTTTTTATTTCGATTGCTGCATCGCACGCTTTCAGATGTGCTTTCAGATGCACTTTCTGCAGCCGCTCTTCCTTCCGATAGAAGGAAGCCACTGAAGCTATGCACTTTTAAATCTATATTGAAAAGTTATTTCTTTAGAACTGCTTTTTGTGTGTAGTTTGTTTGTCCCTGCCCTGCACCTCCGATTAGCACAGTTGTATACGTATGTTGCGAAAGAAGTTCTGCATACATACATACGAAGTGCAGAAGAGAAATTTGTTTTGTTACACTGCCCCCTTCCGGATGGTGGACTATAAAATGTAATTTTACTTTCTTGTAGAGAGAGACAGCTTTGACTGTATCACCTGGAAATGCGCCTGAAGTCCGTTTTATCTTGAAAGCTAAGCAGGACTGGGTAACGGTGAATCTCTGCACTTCGAGAGAGACGCCTGCAGTCATCAGCAATGGCGCATCCTGACTTTTAGTACAACGGCCGTTTGTTGTCAGCTGGCAATTTTCCCTTAAGGGAAATGCAATGAACTCACTGACTGTGTACGTTGTGCGCGTGGGCTTGATTGCTGCAGGTACGGCGAGGCGTACACGTGGACTAACCCCAGCTGCTGTGTGCACAACGTGATCGTGGGCAAGCTCTGGATAGAGCAGTACGGCACGGTGGAGATCACCAATCACAAGTGAGCGTCGCCCGCCACACACACTTTCACCAGCCGCCCGCCGTCTCTCTGACAGCTGCAGGATATCGCGTCCATTCATCCACACCCCCCTACCCCGCGCTACCGCTCCCCCTTTCATCTGGCTCCCTGTTCATTTGATGTGCCCACCACTCCAGCAACCCTTGCTTTCTGTGAAAATTCGGTTTAAACTAATTATACATTCACCTAACCGGTGGGCGCAAGGCGGTTGCCGTTCTTTGAGCGGCACCAGATTGCAGCATGCGCGGCAATTGAGTTCCAAGAAGCGGTCGCGATGGCACGTGCTGCCTTTCACTGTTTGTGATTCAGCCCCCTCCGGCCCCCCCCCCCCCCCAATTCCCCCCCATTCTCCCCGGGCAGTGTGTCGACGATGTAAACGATGGTGGCGAATCCGTGGTGAAACTTGTGTTTCTGCAGAACGGGCGACAAGTGCATTCTCACGTTCAAGCCCTGTGGGCTGTTCGGCAAGGAGCTTCACAAGGTGGAGGGATACATCCTGGACAAAAAGTGAGTCCCTCGCCGACCACGTCCCCCGTTGCTGCCGCGCGGCGCGAATGTTTACGGGACGTCGCTCGTGATTTGGGCGCATTTGGGGCATAGTGGATTGTCTCGATTCTCAAACGCGCCCGACTCGGTTTATAGTTTGCTTTACAAGGAAGCTGACAGCCCATTGAGACCGATGGTAATGATGTCACTGCTTCTGGAGCCTCTGTAGGCCTCTTTAGCCACGTGATGGATACACATAATAGAGGTAAAGGGGTGTAGCCTTATAGTTATTTAAACTCGCAGCTGCTGGCACAAGGGCCTTCACCAGAGGGAGCGCAAGAGAGCCCTTCTGGAGGGTATTTGGCCTACTCTTCCATGCTGGCCAGACGTCTTCCAAGAGATGACTAAGCGTATTGCGTGGAAATGAGTGTTTTCGGCATTGGTAGGGCGCCACGGTGGCGAGATGTGAACTACCTTGCCTGTTATACAGGAGGTCGTGGGTTCGATCCCGACTGATGCATGTATATTTATAGTTTGCATGTTCTCCCCGTGGTTGCGTGCATTTTTCTCTCCACATTTAGAAACATGCGTTTATAAATGCTATAAATTTCCACATAAGCCACATCTTTGAGCTATCATTTGTGGCCAGGTCGCTTCTAAAAAGAGCTATACAGCTCTGTGGGTCTTACCTGGTAAAATAAAAATAGTAAATTCGTGGCGAGGGTTCAAGGCTTCGTTATCGTTCCGGGCACGTAATATCACCAAGCGGAAGAGCCGCAGGCCTCTGTCAGCGTTTCGTATGTGAAATTGTATTTTTAGTTTTTACTGCACGCTTGGTGTTTAAACGTTTCCACGGTTGTGCTGCGGTGGGCCCTTGCGTGGCGTGACAGCAAGAAGAAGGTGTCTGTGATCTATGGCAAATGGACGGAGGTGCTGTGGTCTGTTGACCCTGGCATCTACGAGGTGGGGAAGAAGAACGACAAAAAGTCTACCGAGAAGCTGGCCAAGCTGGTACGTCAAAGATAAATATCCCCTTTATAGCCGTAATGCACTGTTGGGGCAAGTGCTGTTAGCGAGCACCTATGAAGGCCGAGATGGCCCACGAGGGGGTGGGTGGCCAGCACCACCCCCGGCCACCTTTCTCTCCCCAGTGCCGATGTTTACAGACAGCACCAGGTACTCATTTGAGGCCGAGTCCACCAAGCGGAGGCCTAGGACAGGTTCAGTTAATCGTCACCGGTGTTGGCCGTGACCGGGTATCGAACCCAGATCACCAGGTTTGTAGCTCAGCGCGCTAACCGCTGTACTACCGCTCCCCATACACACACACACGCATGCACACGCATCTGTGGGGGGGCGCCCGGGAGCCTTTGCCGATAACGTGGCGGCGCCAATAACGTGTGGGCACCTTGGTCACGACGAGACGTCTCGCCGCTGTGTTGTGGCGTGGCGGTGTAGGTGGCCGCGGAGTCGAGCGGCCCGTCCGGCCAGCAGGCGGAGGCGGATGAGGCGGATGACATCCCCACGCCGGAAGTGCCAGAGACCGTGACAGTGCTGCCCGGGAGCAAGCTGCTTTGGCGCGTGCATCCGCGCCCCGCAAACTCGACACAGGTGCCTGCCCAGACGAGCGTGCCGTCAAGACGCGGGGGGGGGTGGGGCGGTTGGACACACACGGGCAACACGAGTGGTGGCACACGGAGGAAATCGGGAGATGGCTTGAGTAATGTGACAACACAGGGACACACGCAGGCTGGGAAAGCTCAGACACTGGGAGACACAAAATATGAGCATGGGAAAATGTGTTCTGTTCAATGTAGTCCTCACACGCGAGTCCATCGGGCATCTATTTGTCAAATGCTTCAGCTGTGCTGGTTTCATTTGTAGCCGAAGACGGTCGGCGTGCTTTTGTTTAAATAAGCATTGGCAAGTGTTGATCTCGACTGGTGGTCCCGACCCAGTTGTGGATATGCCTTATTCGTTGTCATTAGGACAATTAGTTCCATACACACAGGGGTCCAGCCTCACCAGGTGGTGCTCATTTTACTCACCCCAGGTACACATTGATGATGATGACGAATGGACTGTGCTGACCTTGGCAAGGGTTTGAACTCGCACACCCTGACCGAGAGTCCCGGGTACTCTTCCAAATTGTTTTCGTCATCATCACAAAAGTTATATTTATATGAAGGCCTGTTAGAACTGTCGCTATTCTTTGCTTGATTTAATTCCTGTCCTTCCGTTATATATATACAAAAAAAAGAGTTGCACCTTTTGTTGCCGTCTATTTATAGCCATCCATCGCAAGTTTGTTTCCTGTGCACCGCCGAAGCGTTGAGAGGTGCGGGTAACTTGCGCTCGGAAGAGAAGTTGAGCAATGTTGATGCGAGGTTGCAACTGCTATTGCTGCAGAGGTCAGTGTCGGCCACCTCCCCCCCCCTCACCCTGTGTAGATGTACAACTTCACAAGCTTCGCGCTCACGCTGAACGAGATGGAAAAGGAGATGGAGGGACTGCTGGCACCCACGGACTGCCGATTGCGCCCAGACATGAAAGCGATGGAGCAGGGTGACATAGGTAATCGCACGAACACCTGCCGCCTCTTCTCACATCTTTACCCCCCGCCCCCCTTCTCCGTTAACCCTGTAACCGTGCATCTCTTTTTGTGAATCCACTGCTGGATGAGGGCCCCATGCCACGCGGGGACGTGACGCAATCGTTGACTCATTACAGAGGGTGAACGGGAACAGTAAAGGTGCAGCCGTACAATTGCTTGCTCTTGCCACGGCTGACTTAATGCACCCCCACTAGAGGAACTGAAGAGAGTCCCACCAGAGAGGGCATTTGGCCTACTTCTCCCACGTTTTCCAGATCTCTTGTTGTACCCAATTAATACTGCGAAGTGGAGAGAGGCCACGGGGATTTGAGAAACTTGCCCATTACAGAGAGACAGAGGAACACACAGATAAGGAGACGTACACAAGGACACGACGCTAGAAGCGTTGATACCCGGTGGTCGAGGCTAACAATGGAGTGGCAGCCAAAGGGGTGAACATGCCCGAGAGTGTATCCAGAGCGACGCAAACAGCTCATGCTCAGGTGCTACGTGGATTGTCACATCGCCTGACCGTGAGAGATGGTGACTATATCGGGGGGTGGGCCATCATCCCGTAGTGGATGGCTGACGATGATGATGTCGTTTGTGCGTTCGTGCATGTTGCTCAGACCTTGCCGGCGAAGAGAAGAACAGGCTAGAGGAGAAGCAGCGAGCGGCGCGCAAGCAGCGTGCCAAGACTGAGGAGGAGTGGCACACGAGGTGAGACCCGATACCCCCCCCCACCCCTTCTCACCTTTACCACAACCTTTGCTTCACACCCCTGGGGTAATACAAAACTGCAGAGTGGCTGCTAAGAAAAACCAGGGCTGAATTTCTCACCGAATGTTTTCTGGCCCCGCTGGCAAGCCGGGAAGTAGGCCCATGTGACTAGTTGCCACAGTCATAGCCGAGAGGTGTCGTGGAAGCGAGTGTTAAGAGTGGATTCGAATTGGAGACTCGCCGATTTGAGTTGTACGCTTGGTAGCTGCTCTCCGAAGGGGGTGGGGGGGGAGGCAGACCTCGTCTACTTTGCTCTGTCACTGCACATCGTCCTATCCTGGGGAGCGATGCATGTTTGGCCTTCCACGAAGGGGGTCACATTTGAGTTTTGTTAACATCTCGAGGTAATGTCGAATAGTATCGGTTGCGAAAGAGGATTGGTCAAACGGTATGGCTTGTGGTATTGGCAGGAAAATGAAGACGGTCGCTTGAATGTCGTTAAAAGCTAACAGAAAATGAGTATTTAGTTAAATTATTCGACGACAAAAAACACAACGCACGAGTCACAATGCTCGCATGAGCCACGTACACCCCAACTACTCCACAGCAATCGTAACTACGCGGGCCCCTCGTTCTCCTCGTCAGAAAATGGATGAATAATCTTTCTCGGCCATCACCTCGGCGGAGTAAACGCCATCGATTCGGGTCGCCAATTTTGACACGCTTGACTCGCATCTATAAATAAATACTTTTGACCGGTCTCGCGCTGGCCGAAATCGCCCCCTCCCCTCATCGCTCCGTAAACGCGCGCGCATGCTCACTTGGTAGCGTCGTCGACCGATTAAAAAAACACACCATGGGTTGGTCCAATGAGGCCGTCACTCCTCGCGTGTATTAACCCCTCTGCTTCCAAGCTTCTCTTGAAACCTTTCGCCTCCTGTGCTTTCTAGGGTTGAGCCGACGCACTCCAGGTAAAGCCGCGCGCGTGTTCTGCCTGCGTTTTTGCTGGCACGCACATGCGTGCGTGTGCGAATGCCTCTTTAACACCGATAACATCTTTGTTTCTGTCGTTACCCCCCCCCCCCCCCACCACCACCACCACCCTGGTGCTCTCCGAAAAGGCAAAACATTCCAAACGGAAGGTGTGCAGCTTTTGGAGGCTCGGGTCCCCCGCGGCCGCTGCTGGCTTTAAACGCGGTCGTGTCGCGTGGGGGACCTGTGTGTCGTGGGTTAAAAAAAAAAGCTATAAAAAACTGCCGTGTGTCTTGAGGGGGAGAGCCCTGGGCCTGTGCTGGCTGGGTGCCAGTCCAAATTATCGTCACTGATATTATTGTTAAAGCTTTAGCGGTTGGGGAAACATTCCTCTACAATTATATTTAATGTATTTTTCTTGAGAGAGATGCCTTTTCGTGTTCAGCTCGGTGGAACTGTCAGCAGCTGCCTTGTCAGCCTGTGACCTGAACCACGGCTCTCAAGCTCTTCAAGCTCTCGTTGGCTGGGCCCGGCCGCTCGACTCCCCTCTCCTCTCATGAACGCGGCATTTTTTATCTTGTTGACCAAAACGCAACCCTCCGCTACCCTCACTCCCCCCACCCCCCCCCCAGAAAAAATCACAAATAATCTGGGAACGTGCAAAGCTTCTGCCGTAACTGCAGTGTGTCGCCACGGGGTTGTGTTGTACGCGTTGAACGTGAACGAGTTCTTTGTCTTGTGCATGCCATTTGTCGGTTGGCTGGCGAGCAACGTTACACATCCTGCTGTGGGTAGCCTGTCGGCGCTGTCACTACCCTGACATGCCGGCGGGACGTTCGTCGTACGCGGCACTGGCGAAGCTGCGCTGCGTAGCGGGAGACCCATTCCGTGAACGCGGAAACGTGGGGCCGACTTCGGTCGCCAAAGGGTTCCAACCGCGTGACAACGTTGGAACGCGTGCATGGGAGTCCCGTCGGTTTCATTTAAACGGCTCCTCCGGGGAGACGCCTCCTCGGGCACGCGCTTATTCTGTCGGAGCGGACGAGTTGCACAGGCTCGCGTGTTTGAGGAAGCGAGAGTCGCGCTGCACGGCAGGGCGATGTGACCCGATGCCGTAGGCCAGCGGTGGGGGGGAACACAGCGACTTAATTGCACGCGTCCTGCAGGCACGCGCGAGGCCTACCGCTTGCGTACGGCCCGCAGACAATGTTTATCTGTTGCTGTGAGCAGCTGGGCTGCACTAATCCGGTGGCGTACTCGAGGGTGGTATTAGTGAGAGGAGGAGCAGACGCAGGTCTCGCGTCGGTGCAGTAAATGTGTTATCGCGAATTATTTTTTTGCATTGTTATCGGACACCGATGAGCCGTGCACGTGTCGGCGTGTGGCCCGCCACACGTATTTGAAAGTGCTATTTTGCTCTCGGTAAGGGAATCATTTCCCACCGCTATTGTCAGTGGCACATGAAGCGCCTGCGCGTGAACTGCCTGCAGAATATATGTAGGGCGCGTGGCCCGGAGAGGCGCAAGCTAATTGTACCGTCACCGTGGTGGTTGTGGTGGTGGTGCCGCCGCTATTAGCGATTTGTTCTTATGAACTGTCAGCTGGAGGTGATTTAGCAAATGCACCGTGGCAAGACCCCGGGTCAAGTCGGAGGTTGTTGCTGCTCAACCGAGTGTGTGATCCCGCTCATCTTTCCGTGGCGGCCATAAGCCAGCAGTGGAAATTCCACATTTCTATGGCAGGGTCCAGTCTTGGAACAAGATGACCGCTGTTGACATCCCATGAAGTGGAGTGGGGTACCATTTTATTTAATTTATCCCCGAAGGGACGATAGGTTGGCTCGACCCCAAATTTGGATTTGAACTCGCAACATTGCAGATGTGAGTTGTGGACGAACCACTGTGCTAGTCTGCCCGAAACAATAACGGAAACTAACCAAGCGCACGACAGCTGTTTGGCTGCTGCCACTGCATATGCAGAACTGTGCTACGTTTTGAAGCCACCCAATTTTCTTGGGAGCTAAATTAACGCAGCTAAATGAACAATGCTATGAAACTTGTGTGCGACAATATTTACCCACGAAAAAAGAATCTGCCTTTGTCAGCTTGGGAAAGCTTTGCATAAACGAGGCAGCCACCACCACCACCACCATCATCAGCCGCTCTTTAATTCCGACCACAGCCCAATCCATGAACCCCACCGCCGCCGCCGTGTGTGTGTGTGATGCGCGGAGCAAAGACGCTCTCTCCAACGGCTTTGCTCGATCAGACGAACAGGGGAGGGCAAGTGAAGCTTTGCACGTCTACTAATCCGGCTCTATTTGTCGATGCCCAGGTTGCAGTGTGTGTGTTGTTTTTGTCATCGTCGTCATTAGTCGATTGGTGTTGACTGTAGAGCGTGGTGTGAGTTGGTGTGTGAGTGTTGGTTAGTTGTGCCCTGTAGTAGTGTAGTTCCTGTCCAGCACGGCCTGTGTCACCACGTTGAGCTGCGTCCGTCGCAAAACGTGCTTTTAAGGGTCTGATTCATGTACGGACAAATGTCCTACTTTTACTTCTTTTCCACCGTACAAACCAGGCCACGCCGGGGCCGTGCCAACCCATCCCAGTAAGCGCCAGGTCGGTTTTTCCACTGCAGAACCTGAGCCGTGCCACTGTGACGTCACACGCAAATGAACGTGTGACTTTGGCATCAAACCTCCCCAAGTGTGCTTACTGATGGAACGCACATGTCAACAAAAGTATTAACGCCACCCTTGGCCCTGCTTGGCCAATTCAGATATTGTGTGTAACACACGTGTCACAGTTTGGTTCTGATTCGGCTCGGCAAAGAGCCATTGGAAAACCACCTGTACCCACGAGGCCGCCACCCCCTTGCTCCACGCGCGCTGGCAACAGCAACTCGGATGTGGTCGGTGGAAAAGGGGGCTCCCTTGACGTCTCCGTTACACCGAGCGTGAGACAAACCTCCGACAACGTTTCAGCCGTTTCACCCGGACGTGAACCTGGCTCAAAGCGTTGCGTCTCTCGCGGTCGAACAGGCGTGGAGGGCACGGCTCGGGTTGCCACCTCCTTGAGGCACAAAAGAATCGGGACTTGTAGGAAAATTACCAGGCCTACGTGTAAACGCCCTCGAGTGTGTATGTATATTGAACTTCTTTCGCGCACCGTACTTAGCCAACCGTGCTAACCAAGAGGTGCGGGGGAAGGACAACAAACTAAACACACAAAACCATGCTAATACACACCTCTGATTAGCGTGGTTGGGTACGTACGGTGCGAAAGAAGTTCGAGATACTTAGAAAATAAAAGTGGTTGTAGTATAACGCAACTGACAGAACCCTGGGACTGGTATCCTGGGAAGACTTAGATTTCCCAGGTTTGGCTACCCCAAAAGGAGGTCGAGTCTGGGAAAGCCAGGACAGGTGGCAACTCTAGGCGGTGCGCATCTCCAATTGGCGGCCGTGAGCAGTCGGTACATTCCTCACCGTGTGAAGCCTTAACGACCCTGGACGTGCTCCTTATGGTGCTGTTGCTCTTGGCTGTGGGCCTAAGTCGCTCGACCGTATTCTAAAAATCTAGAGAATCTATTTGATTTTGTTGTTATGTTGGCCTGCGGATTGCGATGCAGACCGCGCGCGACTGCCGGCATTGTTTTCCTCCTGACCGCCTCTCACCGGTGCGTGCCTGCGTGTTTGTGTTTGTTTGCGTGTGTGTTTGTGTGAATCTGTGCGCCTGTGTGCGCGCCTGTGTGCGCGTGTGTGTGTTCACCGTGCCGCCTCCCAGGTGGTTCCGGCAGGACTTGAACCCCCACACGTCCACCGCGGACTGGATCTACGCAGGAAATTACTTCGACCGCCGGTATGAAAACTGCCCCAACATCTTCTAAGGGAGCCTACGGGGGGGGGCACCGCCGCCGCCGCCACCGCCGCCGCCGCCGCCACCAACTCTACCCACCACCTCCAGCTCCGCTTGCTTTCCCGGCTCGCCCTCTCTACCCCCCTCGCTGGACCTTGCAGCCGGAGAAGGGGGCGGGCGGCGGCGGCAGCAGCAGCAGCAGCAGCAGCCTCTTGGACTGACGTCGCGCGCGCAGAAGAACCCATCTCTAACTTTGCACGGCCGGTGATGACGACGACGGCCCGTCTTGCCGCCCGAACTGTGGGGCAACCGGCTCCACCGTCAAAAAGGACGAGCACCATCCTCCCACGCCACCACCTCTCCCACCGCCACCATCGCCGCCGCGTGCAGCCCAACCTCCGCGTAACTTATTGTCGGCGCGACGTGCGCGGGAGGGGCACAGCCGGGCGACGGTCACTCCCCACGCTGTTCAAAGTACCCAACGCTAACGGGACACTGTCGGGATTTTAGCAGGTGACTATCATGTCGGTATCTTCGTATGCTGTTGGTTTATTGTTTTTATTTACCCACCACGCCAGATCGCACGGTTTTTTTGTTGTTGTTGTTCCTTTAAACTTATCGGTCTTGTTCAGTTCCTGCTACCGTTTCTCGACTCGTAGCTACCGACCCCCCCCCCCCCCACCCCCCGGTCCCACCCCCGCCTCTTCAAGTGTCCCAATGTGTTTTAAAACGTTGTGTCCGTCTGTGCCGTAAGAATGTCTTCACGCAGGGGTGTCGTAGCTGTTATTTTAAACAGGTAGCTACAACCTTGCCCTCTATAATCACCCACCGCCCAGGCGTTCCCTAATAAATGAAATATTTAAAGGTGAGTATTGCAGATGTAAAGCGAAACAGAACATTAAATGTGAACGTAACGTATCAGTTAAACTGCCAGAACATTTGAATTGAATTGACCCAAAACAATTTAGATAAAGGCTTTGCACTTCGACAAAGAACCGAATTTTTCCTTCATAAACCATTGGTGCCATTTCGCTGAAAAAATTTTTCCGTCAGTTTAACGACCATGTGCTCTTAGCCCACGACTTGGTGTACCCCCACCAACAATGTAAACGTGTCTTTTCAAATTTCAGCCCATATCAACGTAACCTGTAACGCGCAGCTCGACGGGTAATGAGAATTGTCGGCCGATTTTTCTATTTTACCCGCAAAGCCCGCTCAACGATGAAATGCTTTGCATGCCCTGAATACCGCGCAGAAAAACGCCTGCGCCGGACTCGCCACAGGAGAACCCCCCCCGTCCCCATCCCCGTACCCAGCCGCTGCAGTGATGCAGAGCCGTGAGCGATTAACTCGAGACCAGGGCTGCCCAAACTTCCTGACCCTATGAGCCACATACCAACATCCTCACATGGCCTAACACACAAACACGGTGCTCACGCCGATCGGCTTTGGAGTTTTAAATTTAGAAGTCTGGCCCCGGGAGTGCTCACGACTGGCTCTGCTGCCAGGAGCGAGTGTCCCAGGGCCTCTCCCGCTTATCCGGGTTCCCCCCCCCCCCCCCCCCCGTTTCAAATAAAGTTACGTTGAAAAGTAAAAAATAATTAGCTGACGTCTCTGTGGAGCAACGCTTGAATTGCCTGGGAGCGAGAGCTGCGTGCGCGGATCGCGAGCCGTGGGTTGTGGGCCCACTCCTCGTGTCTCGTTGGAGTGGTTTTATTCGTGACTCATCGCCCTGTAGGCTCTCGCCTCAACCTCCCCTCCCCTCTTTCCCTCTGAACCCAACCACCTTTGCGGTCATCCATCCTGGACCCTACAACAACAACCACATTCTCACTAAGGGGGGGGGGGGGGGAGGTTGGGGGTGTTCGCACGCCTTTCCACCACGGACACGCACGTGCGCGCGCGAGTTTGCGTATCTTCCGTGCGCGCGAGCGTGCTGATTGGCGGCGTCGTGATCTGCGCGCTCGGCTACGATCCTGGCCGCTTGGGTTTAACTCCCTCTGGGCCGACTCTTGTTTTAACGGAGTCTACCTGCGGCTGTTTGTGAACATCGTCGCGACGCAGACGGCCCGGACACGGTGCTGCCCACGCCATCCCCCCCTCGTGCGCCATGCTGGCCCTGTGCGGCGATCGCTATCGGCACCTTGCCCCCCCCCCCCCCCCCCCGCTCGCCGGCCTGTAAAGGCTACACGGGGATTTTGGCGATGGGGGGTGAGGGCGCTATCTTTGTGCGAGACTACTAGCGTGTGCGTGTTGTACTCATTTTTAACGTGACGTGTGCGGTGGGGGGGGGGGGCAGCGCCTACCAAAGTCGGGGGTGAGAGAGGGGGGGCGGACCTTGTTCTCTTGTGAGCCCCCCCCCCCAACCTCTCCCACCGTCCTCTCCTCGGGCCGCTGAGATCTGTGCCGCGTGCGTCTCTGGTGGGAGCTGGAACCGCCGAACAATCCGTAACTTATTTGTAAAGTTTATTCTGTGCCGATGCAATTGGTAAAAACAAAATAATAATAATAACCGATGTCGACGACTTGAGACGAATGTTGCGTTGCTGGGAGCTGCAGGACGAATTATGGACATGTAAGCAATATGGTGTAATGTATATTTTTTTAATATATAGCTTCTCTATCCGTGTTTAATTTTGGAGAGTTATACCGGTGTTGTGTATTTTTGTTATAGCCTACTTGGACGTCTGTTGTTGGGTTGGAGTGGCGCTTGAAATTTTATCTTTTTTTATTTTAATATTTCTTGATTTTCCCTCTTCACCTCTTGGCAGATTTCCACATTTTCCCTGCCCCCCTCCCCCCCCCTGCACTCTTCTGACCCTCAGAACATTAGGATGCAAACCGTGCTGCATGGCGGGCGAGACTAGGGGGGTAGGGCTGCCCAACAAGTGGCTGAGCAGGTTATAGAAATGCAGGGTGATCCATTTAAAGATACCTCACCGATTTCTCCCGATGCTCCTAATCTCTTCTCAACAGGTGATTGAACGTTGCGAAACGATGTTGTCGAGGTCGGTGGAAGACGTGTTAGAGGCTTTGAAATTGAACGTTTAATTTGCGACGATTTCTCCCTCTTGTTTTCAATGGGGTACCTGTAAATGGATCGCCCGTGTGCACGACCGTTACACGACTTTTGGAGGAATCGGGTCGCATGACTTGCGAAAGACTCTCGCAAGCTCGTCTCTGTATCCTGGCTGTTGCTGCAAATGCAGCCCGAATTTAAAACCTCGGGTGTCTGTGCAGAGAGACGGCTTGCTTGGGCGATTTGGGTGTCTGATGAAATCTGAGCGCGCATACTCGGCTGACGGTATTGCATGAGGCGAGGTTGGTTGGTTTGCCCCCCCCTCATGTTTCTGGAGAGGCTTGTGGAACTTTGCAAAGTGGCATTGGGCCGAAGGATTGCGCGAATTTAAGAACAGAGAGCGCCCTCTGGTGGCATATTCAGGGCATTGGACTTCCCCCACCCCACCCACCCCTCGTCGAGAGAGCATTATAATTCCAGCACTTCAATACGTGTTCGTGAGAGCCATTGGCTGCAATCTTTATCAAGAGATTTTGGTTTATGTAAAATGTTTCATATTGCACAATAAAGGTGATGCTGTGGCATAAAATGTATTAATCGTATTGCCTGTTTCGCGTTTGCTTCATTTTCCCATTTGTAAGTTTAGCATCGTAATATTATTCCATGTCAATACGGAGGTCTTATGTAACTGGATGGGACCCACATTAATGCTAAAAAGTTCAACACTGGACCGCTTGACTTGTAGACTTTTGCACACTTCCCAAATAATTTCATATTGCCCATACACTTAGTTCCCATAGACTTACATTTGGCCCAAAGACGTCCCAATAGCCGGTCGGCCAATGTCGTACTCGGAGATGGAGACTTTACATTAGATACATAGACTTACATAGAGCCTACAGTCTAACCATAGATCCCTTAAGATGATACTGATCTCATAGACTTACAAACTCAATTTTGACTCCAAAAAGCAATCGCTATTCCTCACTGGCAGACGAATTCCTATTTGGCAGACCAGGTGCTGAGTCAAGCTGAGCCCACAGGGACGGATGCCCCAGCATATCGGGCTCCAAATAAAATCATTAAAGTCTTATTACATATGGCCCAAGACGTAAAGCGTGTCTAGTATTCCACACGACCCAGACTTATGCTAGACCCGTTAACTTGCATTCGACCCATTGACCTCCATAATGAGACTGACACGCAACTCATAGGCTAACGTAGGTAACACGATCCTTACAGCCTGCTGTTTGGGCCACGAGATGTTAACCAGCTCGCCCGGTATACACGTTGGTCGTGGGTTCGATTCTGAAGCCTGTATACTTGGAGTTATATATTTGAGTTGTATATGTCGTGTCTCTCCCCGTGTGCGCGTGGTTTTTTCCTCCGGTTTTTCCCTGCACATCTAGAAACTTGCGTTTCTAAATGCTATACATTTTTACACGATAAGCCACTTCGTTCAGCGATCGTTTGTGGCCAGGTCATTTCTGAAAGAGCCATACAGTTTAGTTTACGTGCCCGTAACCCCAAACGCTATTATGAACCAAAAACGACCAAGGCGTGGGGCTTCATCGTTTATTCTCACTGCCATCGGGTAACAAGGGTTCAGTCTCACGGAACACAAACAGGACTCGACTGTTAAAAGGCCAGAGGTAGATTACCAAACTTCACAACAGTGATTGTCACCCACGTGTTTGCGTAATTACACAGCCAGCCCAGTTTTGCGGTTGCACCGAAAGCCCCGTGGTTGAGCGCACCGCGACAGAATGTTTTAACGCGTCGATACACATGGGGGGGGGGGGGGGGCAACTTGTATGCAACAAGCACCGTGGGGACCTCCGGAGGGGGGGGGGGGGGGCTTCATTGAACTCCTCATGGATGCCAAGTCACGGTTGCGTAAATATTTTTCGGAGCTCGGCGCCAGACAGCTCCAGGTGGACATAAAGCCCTGCTTGGATTCACCACCACCACCACCGTCGTCGCAGATGACACTTCAACGCAGACCCATGGAGAGAATAACGATGGCGTATTGCTAGCCGTGTTCAAATTGCCTCTGTTGTGTACAGCTCTTTCCGACAAAGATGTCCGACATTTCGCAGGGTGTTCTCCACTTGTGGATATGGGGGGGAGTTCATGAATTAAGCCCCCCCCCCCCACCCCGTTCACCAGCAAGCGGATCTTCAATCCGGCACGACCGCCTTAAAAAAAAACCCCCACGAATCTTGAGTATATTTTATTGTATTCACTTCTGACCGTGGAACGACGGAAATCATCTCGCCATGTGAAGCCGACCGAACGCGGTGCGCGTCCTCGGGATTGTAGGCGGTGCATCGGTTCAATCACGATATATACACACGCGTCAACATCGTGTGCGTGAGAACCGATCACAACATTCAGTTCCTATACTGTTACTGTATTATTACACAATATTGGCGATGCTCCCGCCCTTCGTTTAACCTACTGACGGATTTAGGCCTCCGCACGCCGCACGGGTGAGTCATGCGGGTTACTTGCTCGGACTTGACCGCGCTGCTCAGTGCGGGTTGGTGAAGGATGCGAGGACCATAGAAGTGCAGTACAATAACCGACGTTGTTGCACTGCGGCCCATCACACCCGTCAATTGTGTTGTTGCCCACGCTGGTCACCCATCCAAGCGAGCCACTTCTCAGCCCTGCCTGTGGCCTTTTCAGATCGGGGACGTTCGGGGTGAAATTTTTGAGTTGTTGTCGTAGGCTGAGCCCAGGTATACAAATCGGCATCGCTTAAAATTGTCTCGCCTCACTCTGGCTGTTGTTGTTGTTGTGTGACGCCGGGCACTTCTCGGGAGTCGATGGCTTTATGCGGACGCATGTCGCTTACAAAAACACATTCCTGCGGAGGGAGCTGGTAGGAACGTTGGGTTGCTCGGTCAATGGCCAGGGTCAATGGCGGCGTGCTGTATTCCGCAAATATGCCCGACTGTGAGGGCGGGCACAAGCTGGCGTGAGTAGGTTAAACGTTGAGTTTTATAAGGGCACCACGGGGTGACCAGCCCCTCCCCACCCAGCCCCTCCCCACCCTCCCCTCTCCACTCAGCCCCACCCCTCCCATTTTATCCGTGTGCCCGGATACACGTGGACAGACATCCACAGACATACACAATTAATCCCCTGCCTCCTGTGATAATCCCGGTTGGGCTTCCAGTCCATTACGTTTCCTACCAGTAATGCCCACTAGGAGCGCATTTGTTATATATTCGGGTGTCCGGATACACGTGGACAGACATCCACAGACATACACAATTAATCCCTTGCCTCCTGTGAATTAATCCCGGTTGGGCTTCCAGTCCACTACGTTTCCTACCAGTATAAATCAATAGAAGCCCACGACATATGCTGGCCAGGAGGGGGTGTCTCTCCAGGTGCCCTGAATACCACGACTGACAGGCGAAGACTTTGAAAGGGAAACCTGGCAAAGCCCTGGGAAGGGAGGAGGTTCGGTGCCACAGGCTGGAGGCTATTCTGTCGTGCTGTGTTCACTCATTTTCAGGGGGGAGGGGAATTTTCGCCGATAAGACAACATCAGTGTGAGGGGCCGCCACACGTTTGAAACCAGTGGAGGTTTGACAGCAGCACGAAGATGATGATGACGGGGCTGTTGTTTTCACATCTCTTGTGTACTGTCGGGGGTCGCACGAAAGACCGCCAGTGACCCGCGGGCCTTGCAATAGCGAACACCTCTCTACTGTATTTGGTACTGGGTGAGCGAGTCGGTTAGGGTAATGCTCGCGTTACTATTTGGTTGGTCCAGTGCGCTCGTGGCAGGTTAGAATTATGGCCAGGGAGAGAGAAGGTTGGTACTTACTCAAGGATGCTTGCTTAGGGCTAGGGTCGTTTTTCGCAATCGACCCGCTGGTATTCACAGCGACACCCACGGAGGTGTGAAGGTTGTGATGATTGGAGTCTCTCACGCACAGCGGGGGATGGGGAAACGTGGGATTTGGGAGTTTAAACCGGCTCCAAGACACGGCCACGGAAAGACAACGCTGGGGTCGGCTCTTCAAAGAGTGTAACGACGACGACGACGACACGAAAGGATCGAATGGGATACCACGACTGATGCCACAGCGCCCGGGGTAATCAATAAATACGGCACGGCACGTCTCACGCGATGATGACGAGGAGGAAGAGGGCACCAGAACACACCGCGCAATTACTACGAACGCACCGCTGTGCCACCACAGCTAACAACGCTGAACCGCGCCGAACATCCAAACCCCCACCGCTTGCCAATCCCGACTGCTGGTGAGAGATGAGCCTACAGCGTCAAACCAACCGAACCGGCCCAAAAGTTGTTGTTTTGCTTTTGCTCAAACCCAGTGTTGCTTAAATCTTGACTTAAAGCTTTCGTGACTGCAGGAATTCATATTCTTTTGGTCTTTCGGTAAAGTCACGTAGATAGGTTCAAAGAAAATAACAAAAAACTATGACATTTGGATCACAAGCGAACGTCATCGTCGTTTCGATCACAAGCGATCGTCATCGCTCGTGATCGAAACGTCGTAGTTTATTTTTTTTGAACCTATCTCCGTGACTTTACCGAAAGACCCAAAGAATATCAGTGCTGCTCGTTGCTTGTTGGATAATGGTCTGGAAAGCAGTTGTTGCGGGCTGGCGGGACCTCCGGGGATATGTTTCGTCTTTATTTGCTGTACACACACGTGTGGTGTGGGGGGGGGGGTGCTGGGAGTTCTTGCAGGTTTGAACGACGGCATACGGCTCGCATCGCCTAGCAGGTTTCAAGTTTGTTTTAAAAATGACTATTACGGTCCTTCTGCACCTCCCCCCGCCCCGCCCACCAACTTAAACGAGGACAGCCTACGGGCCGGATACGTGGCCACTGCTTCAAAACCAGGCCCCGCCTCGGTCCATCACGGGGGGTAGTTGGTGGCATCGTTGGCAGCGCAACCCTGATTTACATCCCGCCAGCAGAATTCGGCACTTGCAGTTTACAACCGGGGGATTGATTTCAGCCCCGAAAGCTGTCCGGGGGGAGGGGGGCTGAGCTCCGGAAAATATCGCGCCTCCAACCAACCCCACCAACGCGCACCCACTTTTTCCGGAGGGGAGAGTCCCCGGGAGTTACCTCCAGATCATTCCAAGACGGAATTAAATCCTGGTGACGATTAACACCTTCGGGCAAACGACAAGACAGCAATACAGTGATAATACAACAATGTCCTTCGGCCACAGCAGTCTCACCATGTCGCAGGAATTGTTCCGAGTGGAGTCGTCCAACAAGTGGGATATTTTACAAATGAAAGTATTTGTTGCGTGTGAGGACGAAAGTGCCTGGAGAAGAGCAGGCGAGAAGGATAACACTCAAACGTTTGCTTACACGGGACAGACCAGCAGCCTATTTGCTGAACTGTCAAATACTGGACACATCACACACACACAGCCCCGCGGGGTTTTTGTCACACAAAAAAAAATATGGGGTGAGATCTGCGTGATCCACCAACCCCACCTCTGAAGCATTGGATTGCCATCACGCATGTGTAGCCAAAACCACTCTGAAATAACGATAACAATTCCAGTTAATTGCCCAGGAGAGCCAGACGGA